CCAAGCGGCTCTCCCTTCTGTCCCCCAGAATGCCCACATGTTGATTTTCTTAACTAGTGAAACACAGCAATCACATGCCAAGTGACAGCCCACACAAAGAGGAAAATTCATCTACTGCAGGGCAGAGAAAAAAAAAAAGCATTTCTACCGCAAAGACTTTATGCTCTCATTACTCTACGAAAATGGCTGTTTCAGGGCCAGCAGCATTTTCAAAGGTCGATGGCCATTAGGACATGCAGCCAGTGCGTCAGCACACCCCTATGGCGACTCTCCAGTTCCAGAGTTTGGACCCTGGGATGAAGAAAAGTCTATGCAATTCCCTGACAGTCTTCCTACTTTCCCCTGGACCCTTAGCTTCCGCATCCCCAGTTTGCTACCTTAGATACTCAGTTGAACCAAGTACGCCCAACATGAACTCAGCGATGAGTTGCAACATCTGCCGCCATTACCGGTGGCTTTGCTTACTGGAGAGGAAGTGCCCAGCAAACAGGGTAGAGAAGCAGCCATGTGCTTGCACAGTAGCTGGCTTGGGTTGTTAGGGCAGCTACCCCGGGTCCCGAAGGAAGAAACCCAGGTTGCTCTGAACAAAAATCAAGGCTCCAGCAACTGACAGAATGTCAAGGAAAGCGGCTCAGCAAACCAACCTTGTCCTGGCACTGACAATTGTCTGTGCTCCTGGTCCGGAAGACAGCTATCTGTCACAGGACCGCACAAGACCCACGCCTGTGCCCATTCCCAAGAAGTCGGCCCAACAGCAAATCATCAAACAATATCATCAATAGCACACAAAAGTAAAATTTTGCTGAAGCCAATTTAAAGACTGGTTTCAGCAGGCACTGCCAGCAATTCAAGCTGGATTCAGAAGAGGGTGCGGGAGAGAGGGGACGTCATTGCAGATGCCTTACGGATCTTGGCGGCAAGCACAGATCGCTAGAAACACATTTACCTGCTTTTTATTGACGATGCAAAGGCATTCCACTGAGTGAATCGTAATAGTATATGGAGACCATTGCGAAGATTGGGAATTCCAGAACACTTCACTGTCCTCACGTGGGTCCGGCATGTCGACCAAAAAGCTGTCATTTGGCCAGAACAAGGGAACACTGCGTGGTTTGCAATCAGGAAATGTGTGCGTCAGAACTGTACCCTCTCACCACAGTCGGTCTGTGTGCTGAGCAAGCCCTCAGAGACGCGGACCACGGCAGAAGAATGTGGCATCAGGACTGGAGGAAGGCTCATGCACAACCCGTAGTTTGCAGATGACAGCTTGCTCGTTCAAAGTAAAGAGGATTTGAAGCACTTATTGATGAATTCAAAGACTACAGCCTTCGGTGTGGATCACACCTCAATGCAAACCAAATAACGAGCAAACACACCCACTGCCATCACGTTGATACCGACACATAGCCACCCTATCCTTTCCCCCAAGGAGCGGCTGGTGGATTCGAACTGGCTGACTTGTGGTTAGCAGTCCGATGTCTTACCACTGTGCTACCAAGGCTACTAGCAACCCTACAGGACAGCGGAAAACTGCTCTTCAGGGTTATTACGAGGCTTTAAATCTTTATGGGAGCAGACAGCTCATCTTTCTCCCACAGAGCAGATGGTGGGCTTGGACCTCAGACCGCGTGGCTCACAATCCAACATTTAACCACGGTTCCACCGATACCCCTTCCTCAAAGTAAAGAAAATATCCTCACAAGTGGACCCATAAACAACAGCATGATGAACAGAGAAAAGATCGCGGTTGCCAAGGACTTCCTCTTATTTGGGTCCACAATCAATTTCCACGGAAAGAACAGCCAAGGAATCATGGGCTTCTTGTACTGAGAAAATCCGCAGCACAAGGTCCCCTAAGGGGCTGACGAGAAGCAAAGATGTCCCATCGGGGAGCAATGTGTGCCCCACCATCATGTTTCTAATCGCCTCCTATGCACGCAAAAGCGGAACACGAAATCGGGAGACGCGATGTGTCTGTGTTAGGGTGCTGCTGACGGGTACGGAAGAGAGGAAGCCACATGCCTCTCTTGGAAGAAGTAGAGCTGAGCACTCCGTAGAAGGGAGGCTGGAGAGGCTTCCGCTCACATATTCTGCACGTGTTTTCAAAAAGGACCAGTCCCTGAGAGGGGACTAAGGTGCAGGCCATTCCCATGACCCTTCTACCCATGGTCAACCAGCCTCTGTATCTGTGGGTAAGGAGCCTGGGATGCAGTAGTGCTTTGGACTGATGACCGCAAGGTCAGCCGCTTGAAACCACGGACTGCCCCTTGGGAGAGACACGGGCTTTCTGCTCCCGTAAACTCACAGCAGCAGATCTACCCTGTCCTGCAGGGTCACTATGAGTCAGCACCGACTTGGCGGCCATGGGTTTATAATCCCATCTGGAGGGAGTTCTCTGCTAATGGCCAGGATGAAGGTGGGATGAATTCCGAGTCTTCGTCTCCCTAGCGGGGAATGGTCTGCTGAAAGACAAAACCCACGTGTCTACTTCAGAACGAGCCGCTTCAGAGGGGAACACACAGAGAAGTCCTAGGGCGGGGGGAAGGAGTGTCCCCCCAGTGGTGCACCTCGAGGTCATCTGAAGTGGAGGAGGCTGAGACCCCTGGCACCAGAAGCTACGGCGGGGGGCCACGGGGCAGAGCAAAGGGCCACGAGCGAGGAGCCCAGGAGACAGAGCAGAGGTGCAGTGCCGAGACTAGGAGACTGTGAGGCACGGGGGCAAGAGCGCTGCTTCCTGGCCCAGAGGCTGGGGCCAAGGCACCACGGGCTGAGGGGCGGGGACAACCTAGAAGCTTGGCTGCTGCCTGAGAAGAGGCGCTAGCTGTGGACCGGTGAGTCTATCCTTACCGTCTACTGGTCCTGACTGGCCTGTTAACTCCCCTAAGAAATCCCCGTTGTGTGGATTTTGTCTGTGAGCTCTGGTGGTCGCTGTGAGAAGGGTGGAGTGCCTGGGAGGAGCGGTGGGTGTCAGAGGAGGTACAGGAGCGTGGAGGGGGACGGTGTGTCTGACCTCTGTCTCTGGGCAGCAGAGAAGCCAGAGCAACCCAGATGTGGCCCGGCCACTGAAAGCTAGACTCGTCATGCTTGGTGAAGGGAGGGACAGTGAAAAAGAGGACAGACCCTGGACAAGGCTCTGTGGGCACAGGGGCCCGCAGCAACGGGCTCACACACAGCAACAGTCGAGAGGAATGGCAACGGATGGGCACCGCGTGTTCCGCCCTGCAGAGGGTGGCAATGGGTAGGAACCTAGCGAGAGCGACCTCAGATTCCAAGCAGTGCGAGCTGGGCATGATGCAGCTCTGTCCTGGGGACTCAGCAGAGTCGGCGGTGGGGGGTGGTGGGGGAGGCAGCCCAGCTGGAACCTTGTCCCAGATGCATCCTGACAGTAGCTCACAGTGGCGTTCTCCCCTCCCCGACCTCTGAGGTCAATCAAACTTCCCTCAGGGAGGGCTTCCCTGCCACCCCGTCACACCCCACCCAGCGAAGCTACTTCATCACCCAGGATTTTCAGGAAGCCCCTCCCTCACAGCTCACAGCTGGGTGAGGCCCCCTTTGAAAAGAATCTTTGCTCCCAGCAAGGCCAAAAAGACTGGTTTCTCTCTTGGGGAGGTGATGAGGAACAGAATATACACCTGGGCCTGCTACAGGCACTCCGACATGGGCAAGGGGGCAAGGGGAGTGTAGAGGGGAGGGGGAGGACCTGCCACCACCATGGAGCCTGCCGGAGTGCCAATCAGGATTGGCATTACCTTCCGCTAAGATTTAGGAGCTTTGGTGGCATAGTGGGGTGCACCCTGGGCTGCTAACAGCAAGGTTGGCAGTTCGAAACCACCCACAAGGGAGAAAGATGGGGTTTTCGACTCCTGTCTGCAGTTACAGTCTCAGTGACCCACAGGGCAGTGCCATTCTGTTCTAGAGGGTCACTCTGAGTCGGCCTTGACTGGATGGCAATGGGTTTGCTCTCTGGCTTTGTGTGTAGAGCACCCCGGGAGCATCCGGGAGCCTCGTCTCCAAGCATCCCCACACTTACAGAGCAGCAGCATTGCCAGGGAAGCACGGCACGCCCCACACCCCGCCGCTCGCGGCCCCTTTGAGCCCTGGCGCCGCCACATGGGCCCTGAGCCAGGTCCTGGCATGGAGAGGGACCCGGTGTTTGTGGGGAGATAGCTGAAAGGGCAGTAGGGAAAGGGTGGTGCAAACAGCTAATGCACTTGGCTACTAAACAAAAGGTCAGAGGCCCGAGCTGCTCCCCAGGCACCTCGACGAAAGGCCTGCCATGCTGCTTTCTGAGGCTCAGCCGCAGCGCTGAACACCCACGGGAGTGCCCTGTGCTCCGCCACGCGCCAGCGTGCATCTGACCTGAAACAGCAACCAACCCAAGGGCGGCGAGGCTTGAATCAGGCCCCAGCCCCGCACGTGCGCGTGGGAGCAAGTGCTGCGCAGGCGTGTGTTTTGCTGTGTGAGTTATCAGCGCGGAACGGATTGGGAAAAACGAAAACAAAAAGGTGTTGGTCTGGAGCATCAGAGGAAGGAGAGCTCGGATGGAAGGAAGACCTGGGCTGTGTGGTGAATGTGTTAACAACCGCCCTCTTTGAGAACAGAACTGGACGGTGGCCATCTGCTTTTCCCCCCCACAATTTGATCAAAGATTCTATAGAAGAAAAGGGGAAGTCCAGAACAGAATTTCACATTTTCATGGATGCTAAACTTTCTGGAGCCATCCATGGGGGTTGGATGAAATGCTGAAACTATTGCCCTAAGGGTGGAGTCTCCAGAGGATTACCAGAACAACAGACTAAGAGACAGAAGAAGTTAGAAATGTGTGGTTTGGAGAGCCAGAGAGCTGAGCTGAAAGTACCGATTCGCCAACTATTACAGTGGGTCCCACCCTGGCTGCAGATACAAATGCCCAGGAAGGGTTTTATTTTCTTTTGGTTTTGTTTGTTTTCGAAATACTAATGTCCTGTTCCACCCCAAAGTTAATCAGAATGACTAGGAGTATGATTCCAGTTCTTCAAACAAACAATGGTCTGAGTTTAACAGGATTAACAACAACAGCAGCTCATCTAGTCAGGCAAGCCAACAAGGAATCTTTGCTGGGGAGCACTGCCGAAGAAAAAGCAGTTGTGCAGCAGTGGTTGGAATACAGGGTCACTCATGTAGATGGACACTCCAGGAAAGATGACATCCGCATTCTGCTGAAGGCTGGTGTGCTCCCATGTGGGCTTTGTTGCTTCTCCGCTAGATGGCCGCTTGTTTGCCTTCAAGTCTTTAAGACCCCAGACGCTATATCATTTGATAGCCGGGCACCATCAGCTTTCTTCGCCACATTTGCTTATGCACCTGCTTTTGTCTTCAGCGATTGTGTCGGGAAGGATCTTAATTCTTATCTTGAAGACAAAGTCTACCTTACGGGCTATAACTTTACTTTAGCTGATATTTTGTTATACTATGGACTTCACCACTTTATAGTTGACCTGACAGTTCAAGAAAAGGAGAACTATCTTAATGTGTCTCACTGGTTTTCCACATTCTGCATTACCCAGTATCAAGCAACATCTGACCAGTGTTGTCTTCATCAAGAACAGACTGTATACCAACTCCCATGAGAAGTTTCCCAGGCCACACAGAAGAGTTATTAAAACGTTCCACGTGAAAATGCATTCTGGATCACAGGACTAACATAAATTGATAGTCATTACTTATTGACGGGAGCAAATTTTTAAATGTACACTTATGTTAGAATGTTTTATTTGTTCTTTGGTTGAAATTTTGCAATTTTTATGTAAACATGGTTGTCAAAACCAAGTCATAAATTACCTTGTCTTATAGGTGAAATTTTAATAAAAGTTGCAAATCAGTGGTTTAATCCATAAGGAAAATAAACCCCCCAAAACTTAGGTGTCCTGAGTTTTACAAGGAAGTCATTGGCTGCCCCACCTGTGGTGGGCTTCCTGGGTCTTGGGGAACTCTCTTTGAGAAAAATCCCCCCCTTACCTCAAAAACAAGATGCCTAAAATGCCCTCCCTTGTCTGAGCTGACCTCCCCCCAGCCTCTACCCATTGACTTTTGTCTTCGGGCTCTGTGTGAAAACAGTCTTCTTAATGTAAACTGGCCGTCAGTGATAAGGTGTCAGGTGCAACTATCCCAGGCATGAAGCCCCTCTAGAAGCGAAGGACCAGGGGTGGGTAGTGGATGGAGGACCGGGGGTGGGCAGTGGACGGAGGAGGCAGAGCAGCTGCTGGCCATGGAGGGTGGGGACAAACCCCACTTACTCTGAGCACTGCTGTGCCACCTCCTCTTCCTCCTCAGAACAGAGGAAACCCGGTGGGGTTGGACAAGCAGTGCCCCTGGTCCACCTGGACCACGTGTGTGGACCCAGAGGAACACGGGATAGGGCTTTGGGAAAGCTCCTTCTCTTCTAGGAAACCACCCTGTCTCCACTCCAAGAATAAGGTTTACGCCTGACCTGCAGCTTCTTAACCATCACCTGCTAGCCTGACAACACCTGTGCCAGGTGGGCCCTGACTGTCATGTGGTTCCCATGTGCTCTGAGTAGGCCAGCCCTTGGCAGGGCTGGGGCAGACCCCAGTCTCTGGTCCCTTGCCTGGCCTGCGCTGATGCTCAGTGCCCACAGCTCAGCCTCGGGCTCAGGCCTGCCACAAAGTCACCTGTGACTCACCATGAGCCCATCGGTCCTTTTATGGGTGGCAGCCCCTTGGGAGAAGCTAGACCTTTTCTGCACCGTGGACAGACCTCTACATAGGTCAGCAGTCCCCAGCACCCTCCCAGCTTTGGGAGGCATGGGAAGAGGATAATGAAAGAGGCAGGCCTGAGCTTGCTGTCTGCCGGTCATCTGGCTACTCAGACTCACCTGGAGCCTGCTGATACACTCGACCCACTCCGGAAGCTGCAAGCACCCACTGCTGGGCAGGATGACCCCGGGGTTATCCTGAGCTCGGGGACCAGAGTGCACCCGCTCTAGAAAGCACTATGGGGAAGTCCCGCCCATCATGAGCGTCTCTAACCAAAGGGAGCCGCTTGCCAAGGTACACAGGGTGGGACCTCAGAACTGAAGGGTGAGGGTGGGGGGGCTGGGGAGACAGTCTCAAGGGAAGCATACCACGGAGCCAGCATCCCTAGAACCAGCGCACTCCCCACCCTGGGCGACCCAGTTGCCCGAGGGCAACCCAGCCGGGCTCACCAGTAGAAGTAGTAGGCTAGGGCCACTGTGGCCAGGGCAGCGCAGAGCCCTGAGAAGGCGCAGGCCGAGGGGCTAGTCAGCATCCTGGGGGCTGCTGGTCCCAATGCTTCTTGAAGACGGTGGAGAGAGACAGGCGGTGAGCGGGTCTCAGTCTTCAGCCAGGAAGATCAGAACCGTAGCCTCTGCGCAAAGGGACTGCGTTCCGGCCGGCACGGTGGCATCTGAGGCGAGGCTGCCCTTCTAAGGGGCTTTCTACCCACCCCCACTCGTCTCGTCACGGAGACCACGCAGATGCAAACAGGTGTCCTGTTGAAGCCAGACATAAAATGCTCCCTGCTCTCCCGCCCCGCCCACATCGCCGGAGCTGTGGGCTGGGCACCCTGAGCCAATAATCAGCTTATAGCAGAGGAGCCAGCCACAAATGCGGGAGGGCATAGGGGACAGCTCCGGTTAGGAGGCCCTTCCCAGCACCTGCCCCGGGGGCCCAGATCAAAGTGCACTTACACACCTGCCCTCCGTCTTTCAGAGCCCTGGGGGAACCTGACGGGCAGATGCTACCCTCAGCCCTTAGGAGCCCACCAAACAATGGCAGACACCCCACTTTCTGCACAGCTCCATGCTCTGTGCTCCCTGTCCCAGGCCACACTCTTACTTCCCCAGGTCCAGCCTCAGGGTCCTCACGACCGCAGGCACCTGCATCCTGGGTTTCCTCCCTTCAAGGGCCATGCTCAAGCTGCCTCTGGGTTCACCAGCTGGGGCAACACGCGGAAACAGGGAGGGTCTCCCAGGCACCAAGATGGCCCACAGAACCAGAGAGGCTACAGTATGCCGCGTGACTGCTATAGTTACCTGCTGCTGTGGACCAGGGTCCCCTGGCTCATCTCCCACAGCCCCCGCCCTTCCAAGGAGGGCTCAGGAGGCAGAGGGAAGGAAAGGCCAAGCTGTCAGATGAGAGAGACAGGGATGAGAGGCCACGCCAGGCCATCTGCTGCCAGCTTAGAAGGTCCTCCACCGACACGCGAGGGAGGAAGGCCGACTCCAAGAGCATCCTGAAGCTTCTCCTGGCCCGTGTCTTGCCCTTGAGGGCATCACACCAGAGCAGGACCCATCCCGCCAAGGCCCCTTCTGCACACCTGACACCAGCCACCCACTTTCCAGCTGGAGCCTACTCGGGCTGCTACCTCCCCACAGCCAGGCATGCTCCTGACAGCAGGGGGACGCGCATCCTCAGAAAGCAGCCTCTGGGAGGTGGACGCCCTCCCAACTCAGTCCCAAATGCTTCCTTGGTGTCCCACTAGCTCTCACTCCTGCAATGCCACGCAGCGATGGTGGTGGCACAACGGAGGCCTCTGAAGCTCCCCTCCAACAAGCCTCAGGCATGGACCTCAAACCCCAGGGATGACTGGACCTTAGGCATAAGAGAGAGTCCCCTAGCAGGCTCACTCCTGCCACCAGAAGCCGTGCCGGAGAGCGGATGTGTGGCGGTGCAGATACTGAGACTGGGGGTCACTGTGATGCGGTGACAGAGAGTATCTAGGACGACGGTACAAACAGATCGCTGCCTGGTGGGCTATTTGCAGGCGAATCGTTGGTGAACGTTGTGGATTGAATTAAGTTGGCTGTCCACAGTCCCCAGGGTCGTGCAGCTGTCCTGTGGCCTACATCCACACAGAGGGTCGGGTTTACACCCACGTGGCAGTTCAGCCCCAAGTCTAGCCTCTGGATGCCAACCATCAGCACTCTTGGAAGCAGCTCTCGTGAAAGCAATGACGCCAGCACCTCTCTAAAGCACTCCAGAGAAGGTGCCACGTTGAGGACTCAGGCGCACCTGGCCCCTGCCGTGGCCATCGCAGTCCCTTCGAGCACATGTGAAAGCTGGACGACCCATAGGGAAGACCGGAGAGCAATGGCCGCCTCTGCTGACGGTGCTGGCTAAGAAGACGGCCGGTACTGTGGATGGGCAGAGGAACAAAGAACTCTGTCTCCGAAGAAGTGCCACCAGCATGCTCCTCCGAGGTGAGGATGGCGAGACTTGGTGTCACGCACGGTGCTCGTGTTACTAGGAGAGAGCTGGCCCTGGAGCAGGACCTCATGCTCGGTCAAGTACCGGGTCACGAAAAGGAGGAAGACCCTCAAGAGATGGACTGGCACAGTGACTCCCACACTTAACAACAGTGGGGAGGGTGGCACGGGACCATCCAGTGTCTTGTCCTGTTGAACACAGAGCCTCTATGAACAGGAGCGGACTGGAGGGCCCAGAACGGTAACAATACGTGCAAGTGAGGCAGACCAGGGAGGCTGTGTCTTGAGCCACAGCCTTATAAGAACATCTGGCTCCAGTTGCCACCCTTACTCAAGCCCCGCCCTTTGCTCGAGACACACTGTTGATCCAGAAGAGAGCAAAGGAAAGCGAGCACAGAGAGGTGGGAGCAGAGTTCATCCCTTTGACCTGGGGCTCCTGCGATGAGAACCTCCTAGACCCACGGGAAGAGCGATGCCACAGAAGTCTCCAAGGACGGCCGAGCCACAGGTGCAGACGCCGGCGAGGAACGAGTCTGCCAGCCAGCTGGTGCCACAGGCTGGGCCCCTTCTAAGGGCCAAGTCACCACTGGGCTCAAGCTAAGCTGCTGCTCAGATAAGACACTGGGGGAGTTGACTGTGGGAAAGGTTTTGCCCCTGTAAGCAGATGTAAGAAGCTCCCCCTCCTCTGCAGTCAGGCTTATCTGTGGTGGCCGGCCGTCTCGCCACCCCAAGGGGACGAGCCCAAGCCACATGTCCACACTGACGTGGTGGCAGTGGCCGGTGGGAAGAGCCCGGGACCAGGTGGCACCTTTGTTGCGCCAGCAAAGGAGCTTGCATTCAGGGCCCGTCTCCCCATCTAAACCTGCGTGAGCTGGTTTAGTGCATAGAACTGATGCATATGGTGGGCTGCGAACGTCTAGGAAAGCACCGGCTCATTGGTGCTTCTCTCAAATTTCCCCAAACACAGCCAGCACATGGGTGCCCCTCTGACAACAGGACACCAGTGCCCCAAGCCAATCAGAGCAGCACCCCATCGTCCTGTGTCTCTGGTGGGGCATGCGCCGAGTGTTGAGGTGAGGGGCCAGGAGCACCCGTGTACAGGAAACACACACAGTCACAATATGCAGTAGCCTGTAGAGAGAGAATTCACTCTCTACAGAGTGAGACCAGAGGGCTCGGTGAGCATCCTAAGGACCCACCTGCTTTGAATGAGCCTCTCGTGTTAAGTGGAGGAAAGGGGGCCTGTTCCCATCATCTTTGACAAACACAAGGGTAAGAAGACTGGTATCACAGATAAACAGGGAAGATGCGTTTGGAGAGAGAGGAGCGATCATTTAGGGAAGTCAGTGATGTGCTGGGAGAAATACGGGGCTTTCCACGCCCGTG